AGCAAAACCTACCCACTGTCTACCCCTCTACTCCTTCACTAAATTATACTTCCTGTCCAGCTATACAGTTAAAACTTTTGCCTTCCTGCTGAATCTAATTTTTAGGGATAAAGGCAGAACATACAAATTCTGCTCCAAAAAGAAGCTAAACTCTTCCTGAACTAAGTCTAAGTAGTAGAAGAGATAATTAGGAGCCAACTACAGCTTTATTTAAAATATACTTACTTTATTTAAATTAGCATTGGTTAACTTTAGGAAAAAAAAAAAAAAAGGAGGGGGGGGACTTGCTAAGGCTGATCTTGAACTACTGGCATTAAAAGATCCTCCCACCTCAGCCTCACAAGTAGCTGGGATTACAGGTGCAAGCCACTGTGCCTGGCAGCATTAGTTAACTTTAACGTAACATTACTGCTTCAGTCACAGCAGTCTCAATCAATCTAGTAAATCATTGGAAGGTAGAGCAAATAAAAGATAATGGTCTCTTTGTGACATTAGTATTCCACTAAGCTGTTCCTAATTTCTTTTTTACTTCAAAAAAAAAATTTTTTTTTTTGAGACGGAGTCTCGCTCTGTCGCCCAGGCTGGAGTGCAGTGGCTGGATCTCAGCTCACTGCAAGCTCCGCCTCCGGGGTTCATGCCATTCTCCTGCCTCAGCAAAATATTCTTTACTATAATAGGAAAGTGTTTTGTGCAGTGAAGTTCCTCTGTAAGACTGGCTGGATTTGAATTCCAGTTTCAACACTTACTAGCTAGACAAGGTGTTTAACGAAGAATCAATTTTCTGCAAGAAAAAATGGCCAAGAATATTTACCTCAGCCGGGCGCAGTGGCACTTTGGGAGGCCGAGGTAGGCAGATCACTCGAGGCCAGGAATTCGAGACCAGCCTGGCCAACATTGCAAAACCCCATCTCTACTAAAACTACAAAAAAACTAGCTGGGCATGGTGGCGCATGCCTGTAATCCCAGCTACTCGGGGGGCTGAGGCTGGAGAATCGCTTGAGCCCAGAAGGTAGAAGATGCAGTGAATCAAGATCAGGCCACTACACTCCAGTCTGGGCAACAGAGAAGAGAGACTGTCTCCAAAAAAAAAAAAGAATATTTACCTCATAGATCTATTATATAGAATAGATAATATTCATAAAATGCTTAGCATAAGGCCTAGTCCACATTAAGAAATAAGGCTAACTATTAATATTAACATTGTCATACCTCACTGTGCAGAAAGCTACCTCCAGTAGGAAAGGGATGTTCCATCTGGACACTAGGGAACACATTCAAACCTAGAGGTTTTCTATTACAGAAGGTTCCCAATTTAGGATGGTTCAACTTATGACTTTTTGACTTTACGATGGTGCAAAAGTCATATACATTCAGTAGAAACTGTACTTCAAATTTTGATCTGTTTTTCACTTTCAGTATTCAATAAAGTAAATGAGATATTCAGCACTTTATTACAAGGTAGGCTCTGTGTTAGATGATTTTATCCAACTGTTGACTAATGTACATATTCTAAGAATGTTTAAGGTAGGCTAGGCTAAGCTATGATATTTGGGAGGTTAAATATATTAAATGCGTTTGTTTTCAACTGATTTATTGGGACATAAGTCAAAGAGCATTAACTAAACCACCACTGAAAGCAACTTTACCACAAAACCACTAGAAGACTGAGGCAGGTGATGTACTGAGCAAACCAATCCTCAGTCCTTTTCCACCAACAGAATACACAGTCCTTAAACTTAGCACAGCTGTGTTTGCCCTGGTATAATTATGGAACACAGTAGTCTCCAAAAGCAAAATTTTAAAATTCCTTTTTAAATAATGGAAATAATACTTTTAAATATAAGTATTTAAAATGTAAACTATTTTACAGCTAACTTTCTTACGTTATACCCTTTCCTCTCTTCACACATATAGCAAATGTTTTTTTAAGGCCAGGCATGGTGGCTCATGTCCATAATCCCAACACTCTGGGAGGCCGAGGCAGGTGGCTCACTTGAGCCCAGGAGTTCAAGACCAGCCTGGGCAATGTGGCAAAACCCTGTGGTGTGTGTGTGTACTCCCAGCTACTTGGGAGGTTGAGGTCAGAGGATCACTTGAACCTGGGAGGTCAAGACTGCAGTGTTCACACCACTGCACTCCAGCCTGGGAGACAGAGTCAGATCCTGTCTCAAAAAATAGTAATTTTTTTTTAGCATCTATTAGGCACCTGGAATACAATGAACATTATAATAGACAAAGCCCTCAAGGAACTAACATTCTGGTAGTAAGAGAGACAACAGTCATAATAAGTAAATTCTACAGAGCTCTGTAGAAATAAGTAAATTCTACAGTTACCTCCTTTCAAGGATAGGTATCCTATCCTAAACAGACTAGGATAAGGAAGCTTAGAAGTGCAATCAAAGAGAGGCAGTTATAATTTTAAGTAGGGTGATCAGTACAGACTTCCTTAAGAAGGTGATAGATGAGAAAACATTTTAAGAAGGTGAGGAATGAAGATTTAGCTAAGGAATAGCATTCTAGACACAGGGAACAGCAAATGCAAATCCTAAGGAAAGCATATGCGTACCTGATTACCACCACCACCAAGACCTAACAAATAAGCAAAAATATCAGTCATTGCTGTTAAGTTTCTATATCCCTCCCTCCATACACACACAAACCTGTGCTAGGAAAAAACAAACAAACAAAAAAAAAAAATCTCAATTCATAAAAATTCATTCATTCAACAAATGTTTACTGAATAACACCCATGTGCTAGGTCCCACTTTCCATGCTAAGGATACAGAAAAGAACATGACAGGCAATACTTTCTATTCGGTCACAGGAACCTTAGCAAAGGGTCATCTACTAAGGAATACTTTTTTCTTACTCCTTATTAAGCCTTCATTGATTTAAAAAAAAAAAGGTGGAGATTTACAGAAATCTGATCTCCAGATAAGTGAGATGATACTGTACTCAAAGTATCTCAAAGTCTCTATCTTCAGATTATAGATACCAGGCCCTTATAAAGTTTCTTTACCTAGTGCCAAGCACAGTGGCTCACGCCTGTAATCCCAGTGCTTTGGAAGTCCAAGGTGGGAAGATCCCTTGAGGTCAAAGTTCAAGACCAGCCTGGCCAACATGGCAAGGGTTAACCCCATCTCTACTAAAAACACAAAAATTAGCTGGGTGTGGTGGCGCACGCCTGTAATCCCAACTACTAGAGTGGCTGAGGCACAAGAATCATCTGAACCCAGGAGCAGAGGTTTCAGTGAGCCGAGATCATGCCAATGCACCTCAGCCTGGGTGGCAGAATGAGACCCTGTCTCAAAAAAAAAAAAAAAAAAAGGCTGGGTGCAGGGTGGCTCACATCTGTAATCCCAGCACTTTGGGAGGTCAAGGGGGGGTGGATCACCTGAAGTCATAAGTTCAATACCAGGCTGGCCAACATGGTGAAACCCCATCTCTACTACCAATACAAAAATTAGCCAGGTGTGGTGGCACACGCCTGTAATCTCAGCTACTTGGGAGGCTGAGGCAGGAGAATTGCTTGAACCTGGGAGACAGAGGCTGCAGTAAGGTAAGATTGTGCCACTGCACTTCAGCCTCGGTGACAGAGTGAGACTCCGTTTCAAAAAAAAAAAAAAGTTTCTTTACCTAAAGAACTGACATTTTAGCCGGGCATGGTGGCTCACGCCTGTAATCCCAGCACTTTGGGAGGCCGAGGTGGGTGGATCACAAGGTCAGGAGATCGAGACCATCCTGGCTAACATGGTGAAACCCTGTCTCTACTAAAAATACAAAAAATTAGCTGGGGGTGGTGGCGGGCGCCTGTAGTCCCAGCTACTCGGGAGGCTGAGGCAGGAGAATGGCGTGAACCCGGGAGGTGGAGCTTGCAGCGAGCCGAGATCGCGCCACTGCACTCCAGTCTGGGAGACACAGCGAGACTCTGTCTCAAAAAAAAAAAAAAAAAGAACTGACATTTTAAAAGTACTAACATCTACCCTCCCTCTCACCCAGAAGAGCAGAAGAGCCAAAACACTGCTATTGGGAGTCTAATCTACTATGCCACAGTACCTATGGTAGCTAACTAAGAGGTCTCTGCTATCTAAGACTTCATCAGGTGGTATGGGGAAAACATGCATATATATCTTTTCTTTTAATGTTCCCATTTCCTACTTTAAAAGTAAGTACAGGCCAAGCACAGTGGCTCACGCCTGTAACACCAACACTTTGGGAGGCAGAAGGGTCTTGAGTCCCAACAGTTCAAGACCAGCCTGTGCAAAATGGCAAACCCACATCTCTACCAAGAAAAATACAAAAATTAGCCAGGCATGGTGGCGTACGCCTGTAGTCCCAGATACTCTGGAGGCTGAGGTGTAAGGATCACTTGAGCCTAGGAGATGGAGGCTGCAGTGAGCCGTGTTGGTACCACCACACTCCAGCCTGAATGACAGAGCAAGACGCTGTCTCAAAAAAAAAAAAAAAAAGGTAAATACAGCTTCTAATACTACCCAGTGGCATAGAAAATTACTATGAAGTTTTTCCTTAAGTCCCAACCAAAAGCTCACAGAGTTGAAAATATAATTAAGGACACCTAACATTCTAGTTTTAAAAATTACAGTTTAAGCAGAATACATATTACGCAATGTATCTGAACCCATTTAGCAATCGGAGAATAAAAAGAAAACACAACAAAAAATATTACATGAAAAGAACCAAAAATATATATTACTTTCTTTTTCCCCATTAGGTTAAAGGGTACTTTAAGATCAGTTAAAAATATGTTTCTGAATGTTAAGAAATGTATGTGATAGAAAACAGGACCAAAGAAAATTAATGCTAAATTAACCTTATACATGAATTTTTTTTTTCTTTTTTAAAGAAATGAGGTATTACTTTGTTACGCAGGCTGGAGAGCGGTGGTGCAATGACAGCACACTGTAACCTTCAACTCCTTGGCTCAAGCGATCCTCCCATCTCAGCCACCCCCATACAGCTAGGAATACAGGTGCACACCACTATGCCCAGCTAATATTTTTTCTAAAGATGGGGTCTCCCTATGTTGCCTAGGGTGATCTCAAACTTCTGGGCCCAAGCAATTCTCCTGCCTTGGCCTCCCAAAGCACTGGGATTACAGGTGCATGTCACTACACCTAATTTGTTGGGGTTTTTATTAGAGATGGGTTCTTGCTATGTTGTCCAGGCTGATATCCAATTCTTGGCCTCAAGCAATCCTCCCCACCTCGCCTCCTGAAGTGAGGAGGCATGAGCCACTATGCTCAGCCCTAATTTACTTTTTAATTAAAAAACTCCTAAAAATACATTATTCCCGTTTTCCTGTCAGTTTACTGTGCCATGTTTATGAGTAGAAGGGTTTCTCATCGACCTTTAACCATCAGTCTTCTGTTACAATTGGCCTACATAAAATGAAAACATGCTGCATATGCTTCACCCAACTAGCATTACATTAACTAGCTGTGCAATCCATGCTTTCTAGGTATCATCAGTATGTAAGGGTAGAAGTATTTTCTCTACCTACATGTCCCATCAGGCAAATTAGAGCTACCCTCTGTCACTTTTTTACCTGTGAAATTAGCAAATACAAAAATTGTGTCAGCAAGGATATGAGAAAATAAGTGTATTGTCCAACTGCAAATACTCTTTGATCCAGTAGTTCCCCTTCTAAAAATATATCCCACAAAACACCATCTGAGGCCAGGTATGGTGGCTCATGCCTATAATCATAGCACTTTGGGAGGCCAAGGGAGGAGGATCACTTAAGGTCAGGAGTTCAAGACCAGCATGGCCAACATGGTGAAACCTCCTGTCTCTACTAAAAATACAAAAAAAACTAGCCGGGCGTGGTGGCAGGTACTTGTAATCCCAGCTACTCAGGAGGCAGAAGCAGGAGAATCATGAACTCGGGAGGTGGAGGTTGCAGTGAGCTGAGATAGTGCCACTGCACTCCAGCCTGGGCAACAGAGATTCTGTCTCAAAATAAATAAATAAATAAAAATAAATCTGAACAAGGTTATTCACTGCAGCATTGTTTATAATGGGAAAAAAAGATAATAAAGACTGCATTTCTCAACCTCCTTTGCATTCAGATGTGGCTATGACACCACGTTCTAACTAATGAAACATAATTCAAACTGCTATGAAGTGACAACTTCTACAAACCTTCCTTTAAAAGGGTAACATAGAACCTCTGCCCTTTCATGCATCCTGCTGCTCAGAATGGGCTGCAATAGCTGGAGATCTTGCTAAGTCAATGAGGACACAGGCAGCATATACAGAGCAGTATTAGTATAGAAAAAGGCCAATCAGAAAAGTGATAGTAGGGGGTGATGACCTCACTGAACCATGCACTTAGTATCTGTGCATGTTACTGTATCCATTATGCCTCCATTTATTTTATTTATTTATTTTTTGTTTTGTTTTGTTTTATTTTTTTTGAAAGAAGTCTCACTCTTGTCCCCCAGGCTTGAGTGCAATGGCTCAATCTCGGCTCACTGCAACCTCTGCCTCCCGGGTTCAAACGATTCTCCTGCCTCTGCCTCACAAGTACCTGGGATTAAGGTGCCTGCTACCACATTCAGTTAATTTTGTATTTTTTAGTAGACAGGGGGTTTCACCATGTTGGCCAGGCTGGTCTCAAACTCCTGACCTCAGGTGATCTGCCCGCCTCCACCTCCCAAAGTGCTGTGCTGGGACTACAGGCATGAGCCACCGTGTCTGGCCAAATTATGCCTCAATTTAAAAAAAGGAGAGTAAGAGAAAAACAGCACACCATGAGTGCCAGATGAGCCCTAAATCACCTACCTGAACTTTCAAGAGAAAAACACTTTGTTGTTGTTTGAGTCGCTGTTAAGTTTTCTATCACAAATACACTCTTCATATACCAATATGTAAAGAATTTTAAAACTACTGTTAGGTGAAAAAAACCAAGCTAAGAGTATATAGAGTATGCTACCAAACTTGTTTCTTTTAAAAAGGTAGACAGTGGCTGGGCCTGGGGACTCACTCCTGTAATCCCAGCCCTTTGGGAGTCCAAGGCAGAATAATCCTTGAGTCCAGGAGTTCGAGATCAACCTGGGCAACAAAGTGAAATTCTGTCTCTACAAAAAAAAAAAAAAAAAAAAAACTAGCTGGACATAGTGGTGCATGCCTGTATTCCCAACTACTTGAGAGGCTGAGGTGGGAGGATTTCTTGAGCCCAGGATGTTGTGGCTACACTGAGCTGTGATCATGCCACTACACTCTAGCCTGGGGCACAAAGTGAGACCTCTTTCTTTCTGTCATATATACATACATACGTACATACGTCGAAAGAAAGAATCGTATACTGGAAGAACAGATAAGAAACTGGTAACATTGGTTGCTTCCAGAGAGGGGTAAAGTGTGCCCAAGACACAGGGGAAGGAAGAAAACTCGTCATTTTTTGCACCTTTTGCGTTTGAATCACGAGAACATATTATTCAAAAAGTAAATGTTCTTCCATCCTACTAAAATATAAACTTTCTTGAAATTTTGATATATGGAGATTTCAACGATTTGAAGGTCTGTATTAGATTTTGGTTTTGAAATACTTCCACACTAAAGTAATTACCCAAGAACTACTAGATACAAAAATAA